ATACCTGGAAATTTGAATTTAAACTAAAATGAGGCAAAAATCTTTTGAACTTAAGTTTTGACATTGTAAATATTTTTATTAAAACTGCTGTGAAGGTTGAGAAATCATGCCAACTACTGGATTCAAGTCAATGTACTATTTTACTTTAACCAGGCATTTCTGTAGTGTTATGACCAAAACTCAAATCATCTTGTGGGCAGTGTAGTGTACAGAAGATAAATGGATAGAAAACATTTTCCAGCCCAGCCTCAAGGATGTCAGCACACAGAGTTTAGGCCACAGGACATTTTCCAAAATATGATTTCCTGGGCATGATCGCTTCAGCATATTGCTGACTAGCTTCCCAACTCATATTTCCTTTTTCAAAAGCCAAAATATCATAGGAATGGATGTTTTTTGTGGCTTTTGGTTAAATCTAGACCAGCACCTCTCATGATCAATCTTTTGTACTCAGAAACCAAAAACTGTGAGAAGAAAACTGCAAGAATATACTTTATACTTGTTGGCAACAGTGCCAAGGGCATATGGCCAGTCAAAGAGAAAGGAAGAACAACTTAATTCTTACACAGCATTTTTATTCCAAAATATTGCTTAAGCTTACAGCAACAGGACAAGGAACCCAAATCGTTCAGTGTGAAGAGGTCAGTAACCAGATCATGCATTACTGCTTAATGATTCCACAATTAATAGTCCATCTATTTAAATTGTTGGAAGAATAGAATCATCCATGTAAATAATTAGTTGAGTTATTTTTTTCTTTATATGCACTAGTTAGCTGTAAAGAGCTCAGTGCAGATACACGTTTTACAGCAGCAGGTGCTGTATGAGAGTGTCATCTGCAGTAACCATATTGCTTTGTGCATTCAGCAGATAAATCTGATTTGCTTCTAGTCATTCACAGTGTGATATAACAATGATCAACTATTACTTTGTCAAAAAATTGTTATTATAGTTTTTTTCAATTCATGTCACTTGCTAGTTTAAATCTTAAAGTAAATCTTGCTCTTAAGAGCAGTTGCATAATGGAAAGATTTCTGCATGTATTCTTCCACTGGAGTTACTCTAGCATTTGAAAAATATAGTGACATTTTAATGATGCTGTAAACAGAAATGTTCAAGCCTATGTATGCCATATCTCTTAGGTGATATTTCTCAGATAATGTAATTCAAAAGCTCCAGGTGAATGGAACAACAGCAAAAGTTCCTCGTAGTCATCTAATTCTAATAATGAAGTAACTTCGTTGTAGCTGATAATAAATGTAATAGTAATTGATGGGCAAGGGACATGATTTCAAGGTTTTTAAGATTCTGTTTAAATAATATGACATGAGATGTGCCAGGGAGCTGTTTATAAGAAATAATACATGACAGCATTTTATGGTTGTTTGAGGTATTTACATCTCATGGGCTCCTGATATAAAATTCAGGGCCCATTGAAGTTGATGCAATTTTGCCTTAGACTTTAGCTAGGTTTTCATCCTTGACTGGTTTAGGACCAGATTACCTACACACTTATCTCTCAGTATATGTCCCCACTGCAGCAAGATCAAATACATCAGAGGCAGACCATTGAGGTGTACTTCGTTCAAAGGACATCACTCATCTGAGTCATGAATTCTTTGAATTCCATCACTTCTACTCTTGAAAATTCTTTCCCTTAAAAGTAAAACATCATGAACTTGAGGTTATATAAAGAGTTGCATAAACTGAAGGAATTAATTTCATAGTATTTCAGCATTCCCACGAGAAATATTTTGGTTATGTTTTGGAGCTTTGCTTGGGATTGTGTCCCTTCACAGGTTGAGGGGTGTGAGTGAAGGGTATTCTTGTTGATGGTTGGGAGCCAATCATACATGACCAATATGAAGGCTTTGCCAGTGGAGGGCCTAACTTCTAAGACTCTTTTCTGGTGGCTGCCAGGATTTCTAATTGGTGACTTTTATTTGTGATATAAGGTAAATCTTGTGCTCAGTCGGTCAGGACTTTGGTGAACATAGTATCAGTTAAAAACACAAGGACAGTTTTCAGCAGCAGAAGTAGTTTTAAACTTTTTGTGTTACCCTCATGCTTCATTTCGTTAATTTATGATTTGTATAAAAGTATTAGATGCTAAGGCACTGATGGTTAAAAATTTCACAATGGGTAGTATTTTGTAAAGGATCACTGCCAGATGATGTATCGCATGGTTTTACCAGGTATCCATGTTGTTACAGCTCTAATCAGTCAATCCTTTTAGAAGTATACTCTTTTGTGCTTGGATGTAACCATAAGCATACTTCAAAAAAGCCATGCAGAATTTATTTTTATTACTTTAATAAGTTATCTGGCCTACTATAGTAGATAAAATGCTGGTTTACCACTCACAAAAGGTGCCCATTTTTTCTGGCCCTACAGTGGAATGATCTTTCTATACCTCAGCTATTCTGCCTATGGCATCTAAATATTGTACTTATCGCCCTTCTAGCACAACTTGAAATCCGAGGGCCAGTATTATAGCTATAAAGAGGGATTGTTCTGAAATTAAAAAAATACTCTGAAGACATTCCTCAGTTTTTATTCTCACTGACTTAGTTTTGTCTAAATAGGGCTTTCTTCAATTTGATCCGTGAAACTTAATGCTGGGGAGTTCCTCCCCTGCCTTGCCCCTGGCCCCTGTGAGGGCCTGATTCATCCCTTTTCATGGTAAAACCTGCAAAAGAAAAGTATTGTGTTATCCAGCCACAGGCAGAACTGGAAGAGCTCCACAGTCCACTACCCATCTGTAGAACAGGGAAAAACCACTGCACCTTGTGGACTGATCAATGGCACCACAAATCACAACTAGTGATACCAGACCTTCACACACCCGCGTTAGTGTTTCTCCCTAAGTTCCCTTCAGCTCCCAGGATTTTGGCAATTGTCACTGCCAAAGTCTGAGAGGCAATTGTAGGGCTTCTGAGCAAGGAGGTGGAAGTGGAGAGGTCTGTTGCTTTGATTGACGCAGCTTTGGCTGGTTGCTCATTTTCAGTGCAGAATTGCTCTCTACAGTGCGATTTGAGTGATTTAGTAGACCATAGACATTTGAGTGGGAAGGAATCTCAGTTGGGGGCTCAAAATAACAGTTGTTATCTTGGCCTTAATTTTAAAGATCGTCTGTTATTTCATACTGTGTGTTTCATATTCATTTATCCAAGACAATAATCAGATATGAAATATCTATCCTTCCTACAGCTTTTTTTAATAACCCATCCTTCAATAGTATTGTTGGCGAAGCCCTTCCCTGCAGGAGATGAAATGGCTCCCCTGGTGAAATCTGAATGCCAGCACTGCCTCTGTCTTCATTTACCTTGAGTCTTTGGTGCTTGGCCCTTCCCAGCTCCTCTTCTGGGCTCTGGTGCAGTTGTGCTGCTGGTGCAGCAGGAGATGCTCAGCCCTTGAGCCACTCGGCCGTGGTGCATACGTGCTACTCACAGACAGGACCACTGTAAAAAGCCAGGTTCCCTCCCCACCCTTTAAATACCCCATGCTGTCAGGTTGCAGTTGATCAAAACCTGAATGCTGTGATTCCTGTAACTTTTGGTTTTTAGCTTTGTTGGCTGAGCTTAAGAAACTGCTGGGTAGTCCAAAAACTTGAGTTTTTTTGTAAAAGATCCAGGAAGCCTTGCATACCTCTGCACTTGGTTATTTTTTAGCTTTGTCCTCTGCATCCTGGAATAGCTGATGTTCTAAACACCATCTGCCACCATTTTCAGGAGCATTAGGAGTTTTAAAAGCTATTCTGAGATGACTAGAGTAGCGAGTCAGCACGTTTCTGATAATATGTGAGGGATGTAAATGTCTACAAAGCACCATCTGAAGTAGGAGTGCATTTAGCCATGTTCGTTGGAGCTTTCTGCAGTACCGTTGAAACTGAACAGGAGATATGCCAGTGGTTTGGGGGTCGTGGGATCAGGTCCTTATTGATTTTAAAGTGATTATTCATGGAATATGATACTAGTTATCTTCGCAGGTTTTTTAGCATAGTTTAACACTTCCAGTACTTTCAAAGTTTTCAAATTTGTACACAATGAACATCATAACGTTTAAAAAAGCCAACATACTATTCCCCTTAGTTAGTTTCTCTACTGTTATGTGTAAATAATGAGAAGGCATGCATTAAATACTATCTCATTCTAGACATCTGTAATGTGAATATCTACGCCTGAACTGCTCCTCCTAGACTCCGTTTTATAGTCACTAGAGAGAAACAATGGGCAGGATTCGTCTAACCAGTTTTAGATGTCTACTTTAGGATGAGATGAATCCTGTCCTGTAAGTGCTTGTTTGTCCCCGGTGACTATAAAGGGAACTTAGAGTGACTCGCTCAGGTGCAGGCATCTACATTTGGTTAGATGAATTCTCACTTGGGGTCTAGTTCTTCCACAGCTAGACATTTGGAATTGAGAAAATAAGTTGGCTCTGTTTACGTATTTAGTAACAAACAAAAGCTATGCAAGCTTACTCTAATTACGAATGTTGCACACATTGATATTACAATGATGATGTGATGTTCTAATTCAAAATTCTTCTTGGAACGTAGAGTGTTTTTGTAAGAAAATCTTTTAAAACCATTTTCTTTTTTAAAAATCAAATTTGGACTGAAAGACATAGGTAAAATTGCTCAGCAGAAATTTTTAGAAATATTCTGGGATCCTGGGACCACCTTTGAAAACAGGTAGATAAGTTCTATGAGAAAAAAAAAACACATGAATAAGCAGGAAGTTCTTTTTTTTATGTGAGTAACCTGTGGTATACATATTTATTGAAAATGAGAAGTGTATCCACATGATGGTCAGCCTTGATTAAATTCAGCTAAAAAAATCTTTTGGCAATGCTTTCTCTAAGTGCATTTTTATTTTGAATACTATCAAACCCTGGGTCTTAAGGAAGTGATTTATTCTTTCTGCTCTGAGAAGAACATAGTGAGCAAAAGAGGGTGAGACATGAGAGCATTCCAAAGACTGCCTTTTTTCCTCTTGCAGAGTAAATTCAGCTAGAGGAGATGAAGCTTTCTCCAGTGACACTGCTCTTCAGAAGCTGTGCAGATACATCCAAGATGCTTATCCCTCTTTAATGCAGGCATTCCTTGTGCTTGATGAAGTAAGAGCAATTATTTTTAGGTGTTGCCTCAGTTAATTAGTCTTGCAGCTAAACATGTGTGTCATATCTGCTTCGAAGTAATCTGGTGGTTGCCAGTCTTTTTTCTGTTATAGCAGCACGCAGAGTCTGTTTTTCAAGTTTCTTTAACATAGATATGTGCAACCGGGGACTAAATAATCTGTAACAGCCTCTCTGATAAACAAAAATTATTGACCTCCTATAATTTCACTGGAAGTCGTGTTGGCCAGTTCTTTAATCATCCCCGGGGCTGCCTTTGAACCCTGCTAGTTTTCCTGTATATTTCATGAAATGTTATGGCAGAAATGAGAATTGGTGCTTTCATAGAAGTTGCACTGGTACCAGAAAAATAAATAATATAACTTCTCAGATACTGCTAAGTGTTCCCCTGTTTCTACATCCAAGGATTGCCTGAGTCTCTTGTGCCTAACATCATACTGGCAATTTATTTATGCTTTGATTATATATTATGACCTGCAAATCTTTAAGAGTAGCTGCTCCTTATAATTAAGATTCCTCTTCTATTTTGGCATATTTTCTCCATTTCTCACTGCAGGACTTGATTAGAAAGCTTATTCTTTGCTTGTGCTTATTCCCAGTCATGCTGTGTCAGTGGTTTGTTCTCATCGTTGTTTTACCATTCCATTTGTCTTTCAGTCATCCATGGTCATCTGAGGTTTTAAAGTTTGGTTTTGGTTTGGGGCTTCTTTTTAGGTTATTTGTAGACATGTGTGTGTGTGTATGTATGTAAACATATACACACAGAGAGATACGTGTTTACTCTGTTTATACACGCTCACACACAGAGAGACACATATATATGTATGTGTGTGCATAAAAAGGATGTATAGCACAGGGCTAAAAAGCAGTCCCTGCAAAACCTCATTAGAAACGGACCTATCTGAGAATGGGTTATTATCAACAATTCCATTGGAAGGTTTCTGTTACCTAGTTCTGTATCTGTCACACTTGTTCGGTATCTGCCATTTGCATTCATAGTGTTCTCATTTCTTAGCCAAAATGGCATGCCACTGGGCATAAGTAAGGTACACCATTGCCTTGGGCAGCAGCCAGAGTCCTGGACAGCCCTGTTAGCTGCTGCTTCCACGAGAGAGATGCAGATGTGTTAATTTGCAGCTGTTGACATCCCTATGTTGCCTGGTACCATTGGTTATCTCAGTGTTGGGCATTATAACCTGATTACGCAGGGTTCATCTCCAAACCTGACTCTGTGTTCCCTCTGCCCACTCTTTCTCCTGCTCAGGACTGTCTCTGGACCCAAGCGGATCGCCTCCTCTTGTTGCCTAGCAGAATCTATCATGGAGTGTGGTAGCTCCCAGAAAAGCTGATTTCCTTATTGGTAAATTTAAATGTGATACCTAGTGGCTTTGACACTTTATGAAGAAGGCAGGCTATGAAACATGTTCGTTCTCCTGTGATCAACACAAGAAAAGTCTTCTTGGACATCGTGTTTCCTTTCCACACTAAGATCTGTGTAGTAACATTTAGCAAATACTATTCTCCTGCTCAGCTGCTGTATGCAATAGTACAATAGAGCAGTGATCTCACCAGTGAACTCGTTATTAATGTCCAAACATGTGTGAGTTTGTAACATTCCTAAATATTTCTGTAACTGTGTGAGTGGGTTTTCAGCTATTGTGAAAAACCCATGTAAACCAAGTAAAGACATTTCCTCATGTCTTAGAGTTAACAAAAGTAAGTTTCTTGCTCTTTTTGCTCAGGAGATAGAAATAGATTTGAACTTGAATGTCTTCTGTTCCAGGACTTAAATATATTCATGTTCTTATCTAAAAGTTTTTATTAGGTTCATGCAGCAAGCTTCTGATTCTTTATCACATCACTGCCCAGCCCACAAGCAACTGCCTGCTCCCTTTTTCTTTCAACTGATGTTTTTTCTGAATTGTTCTTCATGTGTCGGAGTCTAAAATGCTACTGGTCCCTACCTGCTGATCCATATTCTGAGAAGAAAAATCCCAACCTAGTAGCAGTGCTTTCTAATGTGCAAGCTAGAAATATAATGTTCCCTGTAACTGTACTACAAATTTGACTTTAAAATGTTGGATCAGATTGATGTTTTATAAAAGGATGAGGGAAGCACCCTTTGATGTTCTTTTGTGAGTCTTGCAATATTTTGTGATTTACTTGAAAACTCAGATCCTAGAAAAAAAAAAAAGTTATACAAGGGTTTCAACACCAAAGAATTAGTAATAAAACAACTTCTCTAGCCTCCTAGAATGTTTTCAGAAAGTTTCTCCATATATTCTGAAACACAGGGAAAAAAGGCATTAAAAATAATTTGAGTGAGCAATATTCATTATAAATTAGTTGAGCTTTGTTTACTTAAAAAAATATTATTACTGTATATGTTATTTTTATACATTCCGTTGTATGGAGTGCATTGTTTGATAGTTCTTGTTCTTGACCCCATGTAGTGTCCCAGTCACCTAAAGCATTGGCATTTCTGTCATTTGAAGATGTGACATCATATTTTTTATGACTTTCAGAGTCATATTGTTGCATCTCCTGCAAATTTAGAAATTTAGACTTGCAGTACCAAGTTGTAATCTTTTACCTGCATTATTTAATTGTTTTTATTTTAGTTTCTTTTAAAGGAGATTGTTCACCTCGGGGCAAGGAATTCAAGTAGCATTGGAAAGTGTCCTAACTCAAGTTCTTAAATGCATCAGATTCATAAGAGAAACTAAACTGTTTTGTCTCCTGTGCTGAAACGTGACATCAGACAAACTTTAGAGTGCTGCCAGGATTATAAAATGTTTAAAGGAACATAGTTAGTGGTTTTAATATTATATCTTAATACAACAGAACATGAATACCTATTTAATGTTACATGCTGAAGGAGACCAGTTGGTTATGATTGACATTTAAATTAAAGATAGGCATTAATATGTGCAGGATAAGGCTACACCCTAATCTTAGATACAGCATTTTGGAAAAGAAGGGAGGTGTTGTAACTGTGTACATTCAAATACACTGCTTAGCAATGAATATACATCGCCATGGTCCCTGTGCACACAGGAAAAATTACAGACAAGGTGAATCTCTTTTGATGAAGGGATAAAATCAGTATGGTAGATAAAGTTACTGACAATCAGAACTGTGTAGTAATTATTATAAGCTCATATTATATACTATAAACAGAATACTATCAGTTATTTCTAAAAGGTTTCTGTTTGCAATTTGTCATCTGGCAGGTAGACTGTAATTTATGTGTGATGCTGACAATGTTGAACCTACTGTTGCATAGTTCAGTTTCAAAAGTACCTTCATCTGAGTTTTTCTAGAGTTTAGATTGCCTTTTCGTGTTTAGTTCTGGGACATGAGCTTTTGATAAGAACTGTCTATCCTTACCAGTTCTGTGACCCTCATGGTGTACTGAACTATGCTAAAATGCCTTTCTGTCAGTTTTGATGGAATGTCATGATATGTATGTCCCATACACTGGATTGTGTGATCATCCCTTTAGTGGACAAACTGGATTTTTTTTATTACTTTGATTTGCTACATATTGCACTTCTTAAATTGTAGACTCTGTATTTCTCAATTGAATGAGCAAATAATAGACAGAAAAAATTAAAGCTCTCAGTCTGGTTGACACAAGCAAAAGGAGCACTGGGCATATCTTCAGAAGTACTATTGGCATTTTTTATTAGATGGTTTTATATAGATGATATATCACAATTCCTTTCTAATATAATTGCATAAAAACTATTCTTTTTAGCTCTGCAGTATTTCATTTATATACATATATACATGACCACAAAAAAGAAAGAATTCGCCTAGCAGTTTATAGGAAAAGAAATCAGTTTCATACATTGCAGTAGATAATAATAACGCCTACAGCTTTCAGGCCGTGATTCAGTAAGGCACTTTACTACATGATTTTAATTCATTTGCTGAACTGGAGCATTACTGAATGAAATTGTTAACAAAGGCAGAGGTATTTGAGATGGTGGAAAGACAGGCTGAAGAAAGAACTATTTAATCCCCAGCATCTGGAGGCTCCCACCGTGAAAGAAATACATATAAGAATGGTTTATATTTATACATAACATCATGATTTTTTTGTTGGAATAGACCAGTACATCCTCAGTCACATCACTGATGCTGGACTGACTTAGATAATGATCTGGGCAATAAAATTAAATCCTTTTGAATAAATGAAATTGAACCTGCAAGGTGACCAAATAAGCAAATGCAATCTGCTTAATAAATCCTGATGTAGTATATCTTAACTTTCCCACGTTACCTAAGGTTTGAACAAAATGTAATTTATTTTTACCATAACAGTTATTTCATCTTCATGGGTAAGACCTAGTCATTCTGCACAATTGTTTCTTGTGAAGTACAAGCTATCTTTCTAGCTTCAGTACCAGATTCCCTAGCTTATTTACTGAGGGCGGTAGGTATATTATCAGGTTTTGCTGCCATATGATTTAATGCAGTGACAACAGTCTCTAAAGAAAATTCAAATACCAGATAGTAGTTTCACAAGACCATTATCTTTTGATTGCCAAACTTTAAAGTATTTCCCAGACCAACTGATGAAGTAAATAATTGCTCATCCTCTATATTATTACTGCCACCCTGGATCTCTGTGGGAGACTAAAGGGAAACAGAATTTTCTTAGGGTGAATTTTATGAACAGAAAGATATTTGTCTAGTGCTTAGCCAGGAGAACTGAATCACTGAAGGAACTATTTACTCCTAATTTTTCTGTTATTGTTCCAAAGCCTTTATTCCACTCTTTCGTCTTCTTTCCCCCATTATCTTTCCTCAGGTTTCTTTAGAGATAATAAAGAAACAATTAAAAAAAAAGTAAAAGTTTAGGAACAAATTTAAAACTATAAAATGCAATAGACAATCATAGGAAAGAACTGGTACAAACCCATATTTAAAACTCTCCTACATATATTAGGGATATTACTTGCCGTGGGAAATGAGAGAAAAACTATGCATTAAGTGTAGCAAAATAACAGTATCCTGATTTTATTGCATGAAGACATCCATTGCCTATTACCTTACAGTCCAAACGAGTATCCATTGACATGACAATGTGACTGGGCGTCAGGCCCTGGATAAAGATTCTCCCAGACGGCTGATTCACCCTCAGTACCGTGGTCAAGAATGCCAATAGACCCAACCTAGCAGCATAGCCGATTTAAAGGATGAATAAAAAGTTGCAAAGGAGGCATGAGAAAAGAAAAAGGAGGTCCAGTAACAGTAGGTATCAAATGTTTCGGCTTAACACACCGCTGTCAATAGTCAGAATTTCTCAAGGCTCACCGTGTACTTATAACTGCATCTTTATCTGAAATCTCTGTAATGACCCAAGTGCTTGCATTTACTCCAGCCTTATGGACTGTCATGGTCATGGATGACATCTGAAAACTGCAGCCATAGAAAAAACTATGCTCAAACATAAAATATTTAGCTGTGGTTTTGGTGGTTGTTCTGAAGATACTCATGAAGAAAATCCTGCCACAGATGGGTGAGAACTAATAAATTTAGGCTCATGTGCTGTCCATGAATATGCTGAGAGCTATATTAGGATCTAATAACAGACATTGCTTGATGGACTTTTGTGTGGACTTAAGGCAATGGTTGGAGTGCATGGTAACAGCATCTTAGTCTCAACTGTCCCAACTGAGTCAAGTTCACTCAGATCCAGCAACTATTCAGTCAGACACAACTTTATATGAACATTGATTCCAAGTCAGGTAAGGTATGAAATGCAGCTGAAAAACTGACCTGAATGCGAGCTGGTTTGTGCAAAGCAAGTTTACGTATCCATTCATTTGTGGCACAGTTTGCCAACAAACTAAGTAATCTATCCCAAGGTAATGGAAAGGTCATTCTAGTTTCATTCTCATAGTTTTAGTCTTCCATCCAGTGAATACTCCAGGTATATGTTCACTGGGAACTAGAGTATATGCGGGCTATTGAAACAGCTACAGAGCTTTCAGTTATTGTAGGTCAGGATGATCTAGCAGAGTAGAATGGCATGTTGGAATTAGCATTGATTTAGTAAATGTTTGTTCTTTTTTATGCATGCTGTCTTTTTTTGTCTTAGAAACGAGATGGAAAGATCACGAGAAAGGACCTTCATTATGTTTTACATGACTTGGTATTTCAAATGAAAGATGAAGACTTTCAGGAGTTAATTGAGATAATTGATCTAGAACAGACTGGATACTTTGACTACCATGAATTTTTAGACTTGTTTGAAGAAAAAGAATCAGTAGTAAGTGTTTACTTTTAATTCTCTAATCATAACCTCCTTGTTAACAGCTGTGGCAAAATGCTGCATTGTGTTTTGGTAAAATGTTATGCTCCGCATACAGTTTTGATCTAAGTTAGTATGTTCACATTCATTCCAGCAATGGAATAATCATAATCAGCACTTCTAGACTTTTTTTCTGAAGCATCAATTGGAAAGCAATCTCATGGTTACCAGAGGTTTTTGAAAACTCCAGAAGAATCACTAGCTCACACATGTGCGCACAGCAGAGGAGGAACAGTAGTAGTACTTCTCAGCTTTCAGTTGTCAGGTCTGTTTTGCTGATATTTGACTGTTTCTTGTTTTATCTATTATTCTTTATAATACACATTGGTTCAAAATATATGCCGTATACTACACAGACATTGCATATTTTCCTGGGTACAGCTTTGACACCTTCTGAATTTGCAGTCATCTTATAATATTTTCCTTTAGAATCATTCACCGAAGGTACAAAGAGGTTATATGCAGAAACCCAGACTCAATACTTCTGTGCAGTATGTCTGTTTCCTTTGACAGAAATAAGTCAGTACTTGTTGTAAGTAACCTGAGCTGCAGTTTGCAGATCTACTTCCTAATATTAAGAAGCTGTTCATAATTTTCAATATTGACTCTTTTAGGTTTGCATTAGTACGTCAACTGACTAAATCCATAGTCAGCTTTGTCTTAGGTAGTCTGGGTAGTGTTTTTGAGAGATATCAAAGGAGTGCAGTACTGTCAAGAGAGATACTAGATGCACAAAAAGAAGGTCCCATTGAACAGCCCTGAATGGTGTGCATTGCTTTGAAACACTTTGATGCTAGGAGCTGAAACAGGCTGCTTTCCACTCTGATGGCTCCAACAATAGCAACATTTAATGCAGCAGCTCAAGTCCCTTCCATCTGGTTTTGAGTAGAATAATGGTCTGGCTGAAATTCTGGGGCAAACTGTAGCAGCTGTAAAATTAGCACGCTGGGGAAAATTCAAATGCTGACAGTGCCTACATGCGCAACTGATGTGCACACTAAGTGGGATTTACAAATTAAGCTGGTTAGACTCGAATTAGAGATGTACAAAGTTAACTAGCCATTTTGATCATTTAAAATAAGCATTCCAGATGAAGTAAATGCTAACATGAGAGAAGGCAGGTAAAGGTAAAATTAAACATCATAGAATATTTTCATCTTGGGATGAAATACCACCAGGTACAGTAGCAACACATGACCCTGACAGCTGCGGTTTCACACTTGGAGAGTGGATCTGCCCAGAGGAGTAGGTCTGTTCTGTACTCTGTGGCTGGGTTTATACCCAGCTCTTGATGGAAGCTCCAGCTGCAAGGAAGCCGGAGTGTCTGGGAATCCTTTTGTTTTGTGTCCTGAGTGGTGATGCCAGCTCCATCAATATGGCTCATCCTGTAGAAAAGGCAGATCACAGATTGTACAAATAAAAGAGGACAACTTTTTCAAGAACTCTCCTCATTTTTGTCATTCCTCTAGGAAATTATTTGGTCAGAGGAATCTTAAAAGCAGCAATGGGCAGAACCTGGAACCGATCTAGGTCCCTAGCCAGCTAAGACAATCCAAGGGGCATCTCGACCTCCTTCCTTTCATCTCAAATGTTGCACAGTACAGTGTTTGGTCAGATCTGTAGTTGCACTGAGATTTTTTTCTCAAAATGTGATCAGGTTTTTGTTTCTTCTCAGAACCTTCTGTTTGTAATATACTCAATTTACAATTGAAAAACACACTTATTCTAACTGTTAGTGCTACAGATAGATCCTAAAGCAGGATCAGTAAGCCAGATTTTATCATTATTTTCCCCTGTGCAAGCCCATTGTCTTCAGATTATGCCCCGAGTAAGTTGAGTGCCACTTGCAATTCCTTCAGTCCTAGTGGATTTTGTTTTACAAGACTAAGGAGGGGAGAAATAGACGGCAAAGGCTCTGTGTTGTTATCAGTCAGTAGACATGCCTCTTCAGTCACTTAAAGAAGCAGATCTATGAAGTGAGGTATGTGCTTTCTTGCTGTCACTTTTCAGAACAAACATTTTCAAGGGTAAATTTTGGGCTTGATGTTCCTTCATGCTTTGAAATTAGTACACTAAAATTGTTTTAGTTGAACATAACTTTGTTTTAAATTAGATGGTTCATGGATAGCTTAATGGAACAAACCAAATAAAGGAGTCTGCTCTTCTTGTTCTAGCTTGTAATACTGTGAGTGATAACATAGTCCATTTTCAGTGTTGGTCTTCCAACATTAGATTTGTCATTTTAGTGCATTTTTTTCATGTGGTAACTCGATCATAGTTCTAGCTTATAATACTGTAAGTGATAACATAGTCCATTTTCAGTAAGTGTTGGTCTTCCAACATTAGATTTGTCATTTTAGTGCATTTTTTTCATGTGGTAACTCGATCATAGTTTAACCTCATGGACGCTTTTTTTCTTTCCTGCATTACTAATTCATTTGATTGTTAGATGGAGGAGATCCTTTCAGATAAAATCACAGAAAATTGGAAAGATTTTCATAAGGCTTTGCAGTCCTATGATCTTAAGTGTACTGGCACTATTAACGGAAGTCATCTAAGAAAAGCCCTACAGCTGTGTTGTCCCTCTTTGTCAGATCAACAATTTATGAAGTAAGTTCATGATGTGTGAGCTGTAACAGATTTAATGTAATTTCTTTTCTTACCATATCTTTCTTCCTGTCTTTTAATATGACAGCTATAGCTGGGGGCATTAAGTATTTTGGTTTGCATTAAGTATACAAAAAAGAAAAGGTTGGTGGAAGAGACGCCTCATTCCTCATGTGATCAGATTGTAAATACCTTATTTATTTTCATAACAATTCGATGTTGGAAACTCTTGTGAGTTTGACATTATTTCAGCATTTCAAAGGTGAGACAAGCCTTTTCAACAAAGGAACAACTGATTTGCTGGAGATCCAAGACATTATTGAACATTATTTAGTGTTTCCAAACACAGTGTAATACAAAATTAATTAAATTAATGTTATGTCTTTCCTCAGTAGACTATCGTTGAACAAGGAACAGAAATTTAATATTGTCAACATGAAATCTCATTTTCAATATGAGCAGAATCCCCAAAGTGGGGAGTCAAAAGAGCTACAAGCAGGAGCATGGGGTCAAAATACCTATGTCCAAAGAAGAGGGAATTGTATTCAGCATTTTATTGCAATAACATTTCAGTCAGGTTATAATCAGGTCTAATCTACTCTCTCAGGAGCTCTAGGTTTCTTTGCTTACAGCCAGTGACTTTCAGAAAGATGTGGAATTCTTTCCTACCTTTGAAAACATAATAGGAAAATCAAAGAAATCAGTTCCAGTCTGACCCTTACAACCCAGTGTCCTGCTGATCATTGTGTGTGAGGAGCAAACACAACAGCATCAATAGGAAATGGCTTTTGGAAAATAATCTTTGATCCTGAAATATGAATGAGCATGAGCGTGATCAGTAAAACCAATTCTACTGTATGCATTTTCCTTTCTATAAATGTCTTAGAGAAAACTTTGGGTGCTATGCATTGGGTTCATAAAAGTCATGTTCCCAGCATAGGGTGTTATAACTACATGCTTTCATCATCTGTTAGTTTTATAGCTCTGTGCTGTGTAGTATATAATTAGCGGTCATTGATCATGAACAAGTAATTATCCTTTGAATTACCTGGAACTCAGCAGTTATACAATTTTCTAAATAATGTTTCTACCATTATTTGTGTCAATGAGAGATCTGTACTATAAGAAAAGTCAGGAATTACAGCCACTTTGAATTGGAAAGTGGTCTTTACTTGAAATTCTAAACATTCCTTATAAGAAAATAATATAGAGTAAGGCAATGAGAGGCAAACTATTAAGGTTTATTTCATTCATCATTGTGGTCAATGGCTGTTTTGCTTTTGTTTTAAAAGGATGCAAGATAAGCCGTGTGAGATCAGTCTAGTGAAATGCTGAACACTGAGGTTGTGTTCTAGCAAAACGCAGGAAGAAGTGGGTATAATACGTTCAGAATTTCTGTCACGGTGAACGCTGAGCACATTTGCATGTTTACATTATTGAACTGTGGCATTGTTGAAAAGTGCAAGTATCTGTGTTTAGCAAAGTGAGATGTGCACCACCATAGATGAGCTGAGTTTGGAATCTTTTTATAGGAATAGCATCTAAAATATACATCTAAAAGATAAGGTTTGGATTCCATTGTCAAAGACATTCAGGGACGTATAGTCTTGCATTGGCCATGTTCAGTCTATGAAAACAGTGTCTCATTCACACCATATTATTAATTCTTCTGTAGTAAACTTTTCTAAAGGCACCTGTTCTTAGCTGTATCATTCATCAGGATCATGTTCTAGAGAGCTGATGACCACACTGGAGAAGAAATGTAATTCTTATAGTAAGATGAAGAGAGAATTTATACTCAACAATGCAATAAATGGCCTACTTGATTGGAGAAATATTTGGGTTTAGGATAAATAAGCAACAACATAGCTAATTAAGTTAGAATGGTTCATCTACAGGCGAGGAGATAGTTTGAAAAATCTCCTTTGTTGTAACCTACTTTTAGAGTTGTCATTCTATGATTTAGCCTGACTCCTTAAAATATATATTTTGACTCGCATCTTTTTACCAATGTATATTTCTTTGTTTCAAATGTGGCATTAATTTGTGTGTTAAATCTTATTTAAGACTGTCCTAGGAAAATGTTGTGGATTTATGCAGTGAAACAGTGGATGGCACTGTTCATTCGCTGGTCTAAAGTGATAAGAAGTGCCAGGTTTAAAAAGGCTGTATTTTAAAATAATAAGCAAAAAAAAAGTAATTGACTCCTCTAAATGCATACACACTGGGCTTAAGACTATCACATCTGTGCTGGGAATGTCATAACCAGATTGGGGATTTAGCACGGGTGCTTAAAACGATGCAAGGTTTTTGAGCAAAAGGTGATGAAGTGACTGAATTACGTTTTGAAT